ACTGCTGCTCGGTCCCCCCGGGCCTGGCTGGGCTTTCTGCCCCGTCCTCACACCCTAATGGGGCCCATGCGTCCAGCTGTGTTAAGCAGCAGACCGAGCAGCCACCACAGTCCTGCGCACACCCCACCCATCGGCCCACCTGCAGCTTCCAGATGTTCTTGCTCTCCTGCGCGATCTTGTTGACGGTCTCACCCATGAGGGCGATTAGCATGTTGAGCAGGAGGATGTAGGTGAGAATGACATAGGCCAGCAACAGGATGATGAAGACAGCCTTAAAGTCATAGTTCTCAGTGAACTCCAGGTCGCCCATACCGATGGTGAACTTGAACAGCTCCAGACACGTGGAGTACAGGCTGTTGTAGGAGCTGTCAGGGGGCCGGCAGCCAAGCCCCCGCCACCTGTGCGATGTGGGCTCGGCCGACACCGAGTCATTCTTTCCATCCTCGATCAGTGTCACCACCGCTATGGGACATGGGGAGTAAGGGGTGCCGCTGGATGGAAGCCAAGATCCCAGGTCCCCCCGACATACACACCCCCTTACCCCAGGTGGGTCTGCAGCAGGAACACTGCTTGCCTATTCAGCACTTTTGTGTGAGTTTTTTTTACGCACCCCCTTCTTCAAAATATCAGAAAGTTGTGATAATATACTGTTTTGTTACACTAAGAGATTTATCATCATCTGCTAGGAAAAAATGTTAAAATAAATATACAAATCTATATGTACAGTGTAAATACAGACAGCTTTGTGCACTGCACAACCTGTCTAACCTTACACGTATGCTCATCCACTTTCTCTGTCACACCCTGTCTGCCTGTGCCCCTTAGAGGGTGGCCCAGAGTCAGTCCATTCCAGAACCACGGGGGCTCAGCAGCTCACAGCAGAATGGCCTCTTGGCACACCCTGCACTCCTCTGTGGGAAATGTATTCTGGAGCCTGAGAGCTCTGTAGCAGCTGTACCCATGGTTACTGCATACCCAGTATCCACTAACCTACCTGGCCTAATCCCTTCCTGTGGCTGCTGATCAGCAGGGCCTTCAGACTAGGGGCCAGAGCCCATAATGATCCCTATCAGTCCAAGCTCCT